AATAAAAAAAAAAAGGAGGAACTAGAGATAGAGAGAAAGGAATCCCGCGATCGAGATAGGTACACCGCCGCAATAAAGATTGATGAGCGGCTATGACATTTCGAAACAGGAATAAACCCCAGCCGAAGTGGATGGAAACGTTATCGAAGTCGGCCATTGCTGGCTGCGCAAAAGAGTTTCCCCTTAAATGGAATATTTAGATTTCCCTGATGAAACAAAATCTTTCGTTTCCCTCGTAAATTTATCGTTTCGATGCCGGTGGTTGGAAACAGATTCATGTAGAGGGTGACCCAGAAGAAATAGTAGCTTGGAATTAATAAGAATGAAACTCAATCTCTAGTAATCAAAGTAATCGCTTTTTTTCTAGAGTAAATTCCCTTGCAAACAGAATTGTACTTTTATTGTGTAATTCCTAATTCTCCGGATACGATACCAAATTAAAGTACACACTGTACGTGTCTTTCTTCATTTTCAGCGCACGCAGCGAGGAAGAAGTACAACGAATAATGGGGAGAAACTTGAAAAGTTCGATCTTTGCTCAGGGTATATTCACAGACAAGAAACAAAGCAAATTAAAGGGGAGAATGGACGCCGCTGCGAGCGGAGATCCGAAAGTTTTTCCGTTGAGAAAGCAGAAATCTGAAAATAGTCCCCCAATACAGAAGCTTTTTGTTTGCAAAGCGGGCCTCTACCGCGATTCATCGATGCGCTTAATTAGACGGCTTCGCGCTGAATCGGGGCATCGCGGAGAAATAAATCTGCCTTGAATCATTCCTTTTCCGCCCATATATTTCGAAGTTCGCGTTGTACTTAATTCCCGTTTGACGAGATTTAGTTCCCTGGGGATCCCGCGAATCCCTCCTGTAATTATCCGTCTCAGGATTATTACGGCGCGTCGCCTTGCGAGTTAAGAATTGACAGTTGACTGTTCCCTCCTCATTTCGTTACTCGATAACGCACCCCTTAAGATTCCTATCTCGTCCCTCGACGATAAATTTACTTGCGGGGGGTTAGTTTGCCCGCCGGCCGTTGTTCCTCCCGAACGTTTCCTCCCCGGAAAAAATGTATTCCATTTGCTCCGTCGTTATCACGCCTCCATTTCGGGAACCCTAATCCACGGAATAAAAAGTTCATTCGTTCTACTTATCAATATATCTCCCCGATACGTCGCGTGAATTTTAAGCTTCGTGTTCTGTTACGCGATACCCGGGTATCGCTTCCCACGACAAAATGCTTATAGGACATAATATATCTTCGGAATTTTATCATAATTCACCCTTGAACTTGTTTTACAACCCTCTCGATCAAACAGTGGTATACATTATCTGGCGTAGAAAGTAAAAAATAATACTTCAACACGTTAGCCTGGGTCTGACAGTTTCATCTTAAAGATAAAACAAGTTTTTACGATTAATATATAACGAGTTTCTTTTAAAACTACACAGTGACACTATTTTCAACGTAATTTCCAGGATAATTCGATGTACCCGCGAATTCGAAAATTCGCTCGTGTGAGTTAATCAATCGGAATCTGAAGTTGAGAAACGTAAGTCTCACTGAGCGCAGGGATAACTTGAATAATCGTTTTATTTAAACGATCCGCGTGTCCGCGCCGCTTGCGCGGTTCAATAACAATACTTTTTCATTAGCTTCGTGCGGGGTAGCAGTTACACTGGGGGTTAACCCGAGGCATATACGAGCTTCGAGGGAAATGAGGAGCATAAAAATTCCGTGCTGTTTTCTAATTCGATGCTTCGTACCCGGAATACGAGGAATTAAAGCGGAGGGCTGCGACCGCTTCCGGCGCGCGCTATTTGAACACCAGGCGACCACGCACGCGATTATGTACGCTAACAATCTCGCGCACACTTTTGAATTATTAATCGCCGGATAAGCAGAAAGGTTAGTACCCTTCCGTATTCGTAGAAACACATTTGGCTTCGATAACGCTCCGCGTGAACTTTCCTCGAACTCCCGCTCGAAATTCCTGAAGGTCTCTAACACCCGAGTGAATTTTTCATTGCAACCGATACGATAACGAACAAGAATATTGGAACAACTCGAATATTATCACGATTCTTTAACAACATCGTCCAGTCTCGATTTAATCCATAACTCAGGGATAAAATGAAGAAGTCTAAATTCCATCGGGTACAATGAAACTCGCGTCGCGATAATTTTCACGCTTTTTTGCCTGCGAAACGTTGTAAATCCGTCTTATCCAACCGGCGATCAACTTAATACGCGCAGTTTTACATCGTTTTGTAGTTTTAATCCCTGGTAAATTAGGAAGGGTCTTTGAACCCCGACACTCTGTAATTTACAGAGAACAATTAACGAAAGTGTCTCGCGCGGAAAATAAGAAGAAGCGGAACGTTTCCGCCGCAAATTTTCCGAGCCCCGGTTTCAAGCCGGCCCAATGAGGCGCCGACTAATCCCTTATTTCGTCGCGTTTTCTTCGCGTTCCCTTTGCCGTTATCGTCGCGCACCCGACGACGAGATAAATTACGTGCTTCCAGGCCTATTTGCGCTCTTTTCAACGCTCCTACACGAAGAAAGATACACGGCGCCTTGCCACCGGTCGCACACGTAATACAGGCCTTATCTATTCGTGGTTACCGTTAATAAATTCCGCCCCCTTTTGCATACCACTCGCCGAGTACATTAACCCGAAAAACTAGCCGCGATAAATTGTCGCTGTTAAGCAGCGCTTAATTGATACTGCAACAGGGGGGAAAACATCCGTCGCTTCGGCAAGCCTGAACCTAATAAATCCTTTCCAGGCAGAGGCGGAGTTTTTGTTAATCTGTTGCTTACGAAGCACTGCAGCGTTCGCGAAAATAAACAAGAATTATATCTAATCCGTTGGAAAGAGTTGATTAAACGTTGGACTGGAATTCTGCGTAGGTTCTCAGCTGCGTATTGCAGAAGGTAAAGGCAATTGACGGTTACAATATCGAGTTGTTATTTTAAATTGTAATCAATGGACCAAATTGTTAATATAGGTTCATACGAAGGTTCGTTTTATTAGATATTTTGCCACGATGTTTCAATTATTTTCAACGGTTACATGAAAACATGTTACCATTACACATCGATTGGTTCGCGTAATAACATCGGTTAAATAAATAGTAGCGATGGAATACTCGAATATTAATCATGAACCAACTGTTATAAATTAATTAATGAAATTCATGAATCAATGTAACACATTTACTATGTATTTTTCTCTCTGCTCCGTTTCTACTTTTTTACCCTATGCCATTCTCAGTCGGAACACTATCGATCACACAACGATCTTATCTCGCCGGGTAACGTATCTCATCGTAACGGATAATATATATTATTTTCTCTTAATCGCTCTCCATTATCTGTTAGAGAATAAAATAAATGAACAAACAGATCGAGGAAGTGCTAAAAGGTTATAGTTCGCAGTCCAGGCTGCCCGCCAATAATTTACGAAACGGCCATATTGCGCGACGATCGAACAAACAATCGACGAGCGTCGTTAAATTTTCATTTCCTGGATACGCTTTACGTGTCGAGCTGTAGGCGTATTCAAACAACGGGCAACGTAAACAACAACGTAATTTTGTAGAACCATTACGCATTGTTATCGCCCACCGTAAATACAAGTCGATTATCGCTAGAACAAGTGAAAACCGTTCAGTTTGATCAACTGCGATTTATCATAATCTCCCAGCCTACAAGATTTCGGAATCCCGTAAATTCCAATCAAAACTTTCTCTATTATCAACCGCAAACGCATGCCAAACGTCACAGCAATTTACCAATGTACAAAAATTACAATCAACCACCAGTTCCGTTGCTCAATCAAGTATCACCTGAATTCACAAATGAAACCGTTCAAATTCCTCAAACCATATCGAACAAATTACAATGATACACCTCCAATACTAAATTCATCGCTACAGAAACACCATTCACCTGTAAAACTTCCATCAACCAAGCCATCCAAGTAACCAAAGAGACTTCACCACAGAGAACCGCACAGAAACATAAAAAAGAAAGAATTCTAGAAAACGATTTTATCAAAACTCCAATGAAGATCCTCCACCGGCTTCGAAACGCGTCAGAATCGTCCACTACCGGGTGCTAACAGGTAATTAATTTCGCCGCGAAGGCAACGCGCCTCGACCGTACCACGAGGGGGTGACCGGCGACGAACGCTAGGATCGAGGGGTCGAATACTAGCGGTCGGTGAAAGAGAGCACCGGCACGGAAAGTGGGAGACGAAGCGAAGGGTAGCGAAGTCAGGTACAGTGGGGGTGTGGGCGAAGCGAAGGGGGAGGAAAGGCACGAAACACATTACTCCAAACGAAATACCTGTCGAGTCTCTATCCGGCGCGGTTTATTTTTCTGGGGTGAAGTCTCGCGTGCCAGCGGCGCCGTGTGCGTACATTGAACCCTTACCTCAGCGTCCCTCAGCTGCATCCAGCGATGGTGAGTGCCAGCCAGATATCCCGC